AAACCCCTCATGTATTCTTCCGTCTTGGCCAATTCCCTCATGTAAGGCTGTACAACCAGCCAAAATCCCTCACTCCTGGCTCCCCTGGAGCCAAAATACCTCATTGTTGTCTATATAAGGAGGCCCTTCCTCCCAGTTGTAATTTCGCCCCAGCAGACTTCCTGCAGACATTTCCCCACATAACAGGCAAATCACTGCTCACTCCATAATATTATTTGTTCCCCAATGTTTTGGTTTTACAATTATAACAACCCTTACTTACAATTATTACAACATCTTTACACATAACAACAACCCATTTTTGCACCTGTCCACCTGTTGAACAACAGAGTATCTTTTGATACACTCCACTATCACTAATTAAAAGCTGCCAATCTAAGATTGGTGGTCTTGTTTAGTGTAGTACACAGGAAAGGCAGAGGTTACCTCACACATCCCTTTCCAAACTCAGCAAAAGGTTCTCACAAACACTTTTGAGCTTAACACCGGTCTGAGTTATGACCACTTTCTTTCCATGGCCATGTTGAAGACTACTCAAGCACATGTTAGTTTAGTCGCCATCTACGGCTCGAACGGTGCAGTGCTCCATGGTTTTGGTGTAGTGAGTAATCTTTTGGCCTCTTCTCCTGAGTTTCTCTAGACTTTTTGTGATCGATAGCGCAGATTACCATGTTTTTATCCTATTCAATCATCCCTCGACAGAACCTTTACAGGAAGAGTGCTCGCTGTCATTGCAAGGGAGCTAGTGTCGTTGCATGTTCAACCTTGATTTGGTTGCGCGACATCTGATTCTGGTGGGAAACGTGAGGTGACGCTGCGAGCCGCAGCAACCACTAATTGTCTGTAGTGTCTGCAAGAACAATTCTGCATAGTGCAGTTGGCTAGGAGAAGCCTTATGGGTGTGCCATGTTACAGGCATCAGGCCTGGGTTCAACTCTGACCCTCCTCACTTCTTTTTTTTCTCTTCACTGCAATCAAAATCATCCATTGGACGGCTTGAAAACTATCCAGTGGACAGTTTTCCCAAAACCGTCCGCAAACTGTCAGGCAGAGTGTTAGAGTTAGCGCGGAGACAAGATTACAAACTTAACTTAGTGTCATGTAGATAGTGTTTCAACTATGTTTATCATCATGTGTGACCTAGTTGCTGCGGCACATCTCTTGTACCTAGTTTAGTTGCCGGCCGCTCCGGTCCCGGCTCCTCTCTCTTTCCTCACCGAGTTTGAAGTCGAGATCGCAGCGCGCCGTTAGCTTACCGTGACGTGTTCCTTTTCGTCAGGTAAGTGTAATCAATACCGAGTTTGGAGTCGAGATCGCAGCGCGCCGTTAGCTTACCGTGACGTGTTCCTTTTCGTCAGGTTCACATTCTT